ACGGGGCCCAAGTCTAAACACGATATTCATTTGTTACCTATGCACTTTATACCCATACTCTGGGACAAATTATATATATTTTGAAATACAGCCCAGGCATTTCCCGGGCTGTCTGTCCAGGCTCCAGAAGCATTCTCTCCTGACATTTCGCCTGCATCTATGCCAGGCATCCTCAAAAGGTTGTGAGGTCTGTGGAAAACTAGGCAAGTGCGGTTTATATATCTGTGGAATGATGTCCAGGATGGGAGAAACAAAGGAATCCCAACAAAGGAGTCCTCCAGGCAGGAATCAGCCAGGCTTTGAAGCTGCAAGGTCATTTAATGCTAATCAAAGTGGCTGTTTGCAACATTCACAGTTCTAGACATTTTTTCACAGATATATCAACCCCACTTTTCTAGTGTCCAATAGACCTCACAACCTCTGAGGATGCCTGCCATAGATGCAGGCGAAACGTCAGAAGAGAATGCTTCAGGAACATGGCCAGACAGCTCAGAAAACACACAGCAACCCAGTGACTCCGGCCATGAAGGCGTCCGACAATACAATTTTGGGGATGAAACAAAGTTTGTGAACATCAATTCCTCCAAAAGCAAAGGTGTCAGTATCTCAGCCACCCAAAGTTTTGCAGACTGTTGCATTTTGCATTTCCAGGTAAGGGATGCACCATTTGCAGTACAATTAAATAAACCAAGAAAAGTAGTTTAATAATCTTTGAGCAAGAAACAAATTCATGTTTGTGGAAAATACTTTTGTTTGGGTCATGAAAATGTGATTAAAATGCAGCAAGCTTTCAAGCTCAACAGAACTCCTTTTCATAGCAATGACATTGGCTAATTGGATAAGTCAATTAAGGAGAAATCTCACGGGATTTTCAATTTCAGAGATTAGTCTCTTTAGGCGGATGATTTAGAAAAGAACGTCTTTCAGGGTTTTAAAAAAAGTCTTCCTCAAAGAAGTTTTGGGAGCTGTAGTTTTGTGAGGCACCAGCCCTCTATGGCAGAGAAAGGTAAAGACTTTGTGAAACTACATCTTCCTTGGGCTTTCCGGGCTGTCTGGCCATGTTCCAGAAGCATTCTCTCCTGACGTTTCACCCACATCTATGGAAGGCCTCCTCAGAGGGTGTGAAGTTTGAGGCAGGTGTGTCTGTTTGAGGCAGGTGTGAATGTCGCAAGTGGCCACCTTGATTAGTATTGAATGGCTTTGCAGCTTCATAGTGTGGCTGCTTCCTGCCTGGGGGAATCTTTGTTGGGATGTATTAGCTGACCCTGATCGTTTGATTTCAGGAATAAAAAACTCTAAAATCAGGACAGTAAATAAGGAGGAATATTAGAAAGAACTCGTGTGTTGGAGGCCAGTGCAAATGTTGCCATTGGCCACCTTGATTAGCATTGCATAGCCTTGCAGCTTCAAAGCCTGGCTGCTTCCTGCCTGGAAGAATCAATATGATTTTAATGTGTTGTTGAAGGCTTTCATCGCCAGAATCACTGGATTAATGAGTTTTCCAAGATGTCTGGCCATATTCCAGAAGCATTCTCTCCTGACAGTTCGCCCACATCTATGGCAGGCATCCTCAGAGGTTGTGAGGTCTGTTGGATTACAAATATATATCTGTGGAATATCCAGGGTGGGAGAAATAACTTGTCTGCTTGAGGCAAGTGTGAATGTTGCAATTAGTCACTTTGATTAGCACTGAATAGCCTTGCAGCTTCAAAGCCTGGCTCATTCCTGTCTGGGGGAATCCTTTGTTGGGATTGCTTTGTTTTTCCCACAGGTCATTCCACATTTATATAAACCCCACTTGCCTAGTTTCCAACAGACCTCACAAGATGTAATAATGCCACAATACTTCGGTTCTAAGATGACATTGATTGTAAGATGCAAAGTAATTTCAAGAGACAGACAGACAAATGGAGGGATGAATGGATGCTGATCTGTCTGTCAGTGTCTATCTATCTATTACCTGTGTCTATCTATCTGTTGAAAACTAGGAGTTGTGAGAGTCTTAGTCCAAAACACCTGCTGTCTGGCCATATTCCAGAAGCATTCTCTCCTGACGTTTTGCCTGCATCTATGGCAGGCATCCTCAAAAGGTTGTGAGGTCTGTGGAAAACTAGGCAAGTGGGGTTTATATATCTGTGGAATGATGTCCAGGGTAGGAGAAACAAAGGAATCCCAACAAAGGAGTCCCCCAGGCAGGAATCAGCCAGGCTTTGAAGCTGCAAGGCCATTCAATGCTAATCAAAGTGGCTGTTTGCAACATTCACAGTTCTTTCTTCCACCCTGGACATTATTCCACAGATATATTGACCCCACTTTCCTAGTGTCCAACAGACCTCACAACCTCTGAGGATGCCTGCCATAGATGCAGGCAAAATGTCAGGAGAGAATGCTTCTGGAACATGGCCAGACAGCTCAGAAAACACACAACAACCCAGTGATTCCGACCATGAAAGCCTCTGAGGATACATCTTCCTTGCTTCCAAGGGAGTTAAAGTGGTGTCAATCTGCATTCATTCTACAGTGTAGATGCGCTCCATTCCAACCCCCCTTTTGGGAGATTCTGGACCAAAAATCCCCCAATGGGGCAATATGGGAATTCTAGTCTACCACGACTACTGTAGTCTTATGAATAATAATGGAAATTTCCTCAACTCTTGTTTTCTCAGGCACTTTGTTCTTGCAATTCTCCTTCACTTTCACTTCACAGGCGGTGGGCGATTTTGGGCTGCCAATCTCCCCAAAGGAGATTTTGGGAGTTGTGATCCATACACCACACAAACAAGGCTGCTTCTGTCATCACTGTTTATTCAGGCACCTTGTCCTTTGGACTACAAATCCCTCTAACTGACAGAAGATTCTTGGAATGGCAGACACAACATGACTTTCCCCAACAATGATGCCTCCTTTGGAATAGAATCATAGACTCCTAGAGTTGGAAGAGACCTAGTGGGCCATCCAGTCCAACCCCATTTTGCCAAGAAGCAGGAAAATCACATTCAAAGCACCCCCGACAGATGGCCACCCAGCCTCTGTTCTAAAGCCTCCAAAGAAGGAGCCTCCACCTCAGAACCCTTTATCAGGGATTTTGGAATTATAAACCTATACACACATCATTTTCCAACTTGGTTCCTTTAAGCACCTTGTCCACAAAGAGGCAGTCTGGAAGTTCTAGTCCACATATATCCACAACCTCCCAACTCTGTTCCACCTGTAATTTAGACTGCTTGTCTCTCCAACAGGGGATTCTTGGAAGTGTAGTCCATACACCTAACACTCCTGAACTCTGCTCTCCCAAGCACCTTATCCTTGGACTACATATCCCTTTTACAGGGGATTATTGGAACTTCAATTTACACACCCAATATTCCCCAACTCTGTTGTCTGGGGCCCCTTCCACACAGTTGAATAAAATCCGACATTATCTGCTTTGAACTGGGATATATGGCAGTGTGGACTCAGATAACCCAGTTCAAAGCAGGTATTGTGGGATTTTCTGCCTTGGTATCCTGATTTATATGGCTGTGTGGAAGGGCCCTGGCGCACATTGCCATTTGAACTACACACCCTGCAATGAGAGAGCCCGGGAGTTCTAGTCCACACATCCTGTATCCCCCCAACTTTTGCCCATTCGACAAAACATTAAAATCATATTGATTCTCCCAGGCAGGAAGCAGCCAGGCTTTGAAGCTGCAAGGCTATGCAATGCTAATCAAGGTGGCCAATGGCAAAATTCTCACAAGCCTCCAACAGACAAGAGTTCTTTCTCCTACCCTGGACATCATTCCACAGATATATAAATCCAAATTGCCTAATTTCCAAAAAACTTCACAACCTCTGAGGATGTCTGCCATAGACGCAGGTGAAACGTCAAGAGCTCTTTCTCATGTTCCTCTTTATTTACTGTTCTGATTTTAGAGGGTTTTTTTATTCCTGAAATCAAACGACCAGGGTCAGCTAATACCTCCCAACAAAGGATTCCCCCAGGCAGAAAACAACCACACTATGAAGCTGCAAGGCCATTCAATACTAATCAAGGTGGCCAATTGCAGCACTCACACTCGACTCAAACAGACAAGAGTTCTTTCTCCCACCCTGGACATCATTCCACAGATATATAAACCCCACTCTTCTAGTTTCCAAAAAAACTCACAACCTCTGCCATAGATGTAGGCAAAATGACAGGAAAGAACGCTTCTGGAACATGGCCAGTCAGCCCATGCAACACAGTGATTCTGGCCATGAACGCCTTCGACAATGCATTAATTTTATAGTGTGGATTATTTTGGTCCTATGTGTGAATGTTCCAGTAGCATTCTCTCCTGACGTTTCACCATATCTATGGAAGGCATGCTCAGAGGTTGTGAGGTCTGTTGGAAAGTAGGAAAATGGGGTTTATATCCCTGTGGAATAATGTCCCGGGTGGGAGGAAGAACTCTTGTCTGTTGGAGGCAGGTGTGAATGTTGCAAATGGCCACCTTTGATTATTAGCACTGAGTAAACTTGAAGTTTTAAAGCCTGGGTCGAACTGGCTGAAACTCGAGGAGAGAGTCAGTCCTGCAGGATGATGTCCCTCCCGCAGAACATGGTCAGAAGCCTGGAAAACTCACAGCAATCCAGTGATTGCCTTCGACAACACATTAAAATCATACTGATTCTCCCAGGCAGGGAGCAGCAAGGCTTTAAAGCTGCAAGGCTATGCAAAGCCTATGCAAACTATTTGCCTTTTAACAAACTTTCAACATATTAAAATCATATTGATTCTCCCAGACAGGAAGCAGCCAAGCTCTGAAGCTACAAGGCTATGCAAAGTCTACTAAAAAGCAAACTATTTGCATTTTAACAAACTTTCTCCATGTTTTTAGGATGGAACCAATTAGGGAAGGGCATTGGAACAAAAACAGAGCTAGATAATGTTACCGGGATGGTACACCCAACACCCCCCGACGTTGCCCTGCCTCCCAAGCCCCTTTCCCTTTGGGCCAGGCGCCACCTGCACTTACCTGGGACTCAGGCGGACCGGGGAGAGAGCAGCGTGGGTCCCGCCGGGGCGGCCTCTCCGTCTGAGGCCAGGAGGCTCAATGAGCCGCTTCTGTCAAGTTTGGGAGACACACACAGACACAGAGAGAGAGAGAGGCAAGCAGGCGCCGCCCCGACTTGGGCCGGGCTTTGTAAGGCTTTGCAACTCTCTCTCTTGCGCCACCGGCCCCGGGTTGCCCCATGCCACCCGCCCACGAGGGAGGGGGTGACTCAAGGTGGGGGGGGTGGACCCACTGACCCGGATGGAGGGGGGAACTGGGGGAAACGTTGGGGAAGGGGCTTGAGGGTGAGTCAAGACATTTTGCCGCCTGAAGCCGGGCAAGCAAGGGTGCCCATCTCTTCTTCAACCCAATTAGATAGACCAGGCATGGGCCAACTTGGGCTCTCCAGGTGTTTTGGACTCCAAACTCCCACCATTCCTAAAAGCCTCAGGCCCCTTCCTTTTCTCCCTCAGCCACTCAAGCATGTGGAGTGTATCTGCTGTGTCTCCAGCTGTGTCTACACTGGAAAACTAAAGTAGTTTGACATTATGTTAACTGTCATAGCTCAATGCTATGGAATCCTGTGAGTTTAGTAGGGCACCAGCACCATTTGCAAGGGAAGACTAAAGACTTTGTGAAGTCACAACTCCCAGGGTTCCTTAGCATTGAGCCATGGCATATATTTATTTATTTATTTATCATGTCAGGAGCAAACCAAACAGTTATATTGCGTTTTTTACAAACAAACAAAACACAAACTTTGAAAGCTTGGTAGTTGATTTAATGTCCTTTGACCAGTATCTGGCTACTTGGAGTGCCTCTGGTGTTACTATAAGAAGGTCCTCCATTGTGCATGTGGCAGGGCTCAGGTTGCATTGCAGTAGGTGGTCTGTAGTTTGCTCTTCTCCACACTCACATGTTGTGGATTTCACTTTGAGCCCCATTTTTAAAGGTTAGCTCTGCACCTCGTGGTGCCAGAGCGCAGTCTGTTCAGCGCCTTCCAAGTTGCCCAGTCTTCTGTGTGCCCAGGGGGGAGTCTCTTGTTTGGTATCAGCCACTGGTTGAGGTTCTGGGTTTGAGCCTGCCACTTTTGGATTCTTGCTTGCTGAGGTGTTCCAGCGAGTGTCTCTGTAGGTTTTAGAAAACTATTTCTTGATTTAAGCCATGGCAGATAAAGCGGTGTTAAACTGCATTAATTCCACAGTGTAGACCAGACATGGGCAAACTTGGGCCCTCCAGGTGTTTTAAACTCCCAACTCCCACCTTTCCTAACAGCCTCAGGCCCTTTCCTTTCTGCTTAAGCGACTGAGGGGAAAAGGAAGTGGCCCGAGGCTGTTAGACATGGTGGGAGTTGGAGTCCAAAACAACTGGAAGGCCCAACTTGACCCATGCCGGAGATAGACGGATGCCAGTCTATCTCAGGCATGGGTCCAAGATAGAATCATAGAAGAGTTGGAAGAGACCCCTAATGGTCATATCTTGTCCAGCCCCCTTCTGCTAGGCAAGAAGACACAAGCAAAGCCCTCTCAACAGACAGTCATCCAGCCTCTGCTGAAGAAAAAACAACCTCTGCTTAAAAGTTTGGATAGTTTGAAATCAACTTAGGGACAGTGAGCAAGTGATGGCTCAAGATATTTGACCGCTCACATTTCCAGGACAGCAAATTGGAGCCTTCTCTATACCAAAAGAGATATTGATAAGGTGGAAGGTGTCCAGAGGAGGGCAACAGTCTGGATTACTGCAACGCGTTCTATATGGAGCTGCCTCTGAAAAATGCTTGGAAACTTCAGCTGGTCCAAAGAGCTGCAGCCAGGTTGCTGACGGGGGTTGGATGCAGGGAGTGGACAACCCACTTGTCACAGCAGCTCCACTGGCTACCAGTCTGTTTCCAGGCACAATTCAGAGTGCTGGTTATAACCTTTAAAGCCCTAGATGGTTCAGGTCCAGGCTGGTAGGCCGACCACATCCCCTTGTACAAACCTGCCCGAGTCCTGAGATCTTCAGGAGAGGCCTTTCTCTCAGTCCCACCTCCATCTCAAGCCCGGTTGGTGGGAATGAGCAAGTGGACCTTCCTTCTTGGTGGCAAATGCCCCTCAACTGTGGAACATCATTCTTCCCAGAGAAACCAGAATGGCCCACTCCTAGATGTCCTTCTGGTGGCAAGCTAAAATCTTTTTATTTAGACAAGCTTTTAAAGATGGAGGTATTTAAGATCTAGTCAGGGGGTGCTGTGGTTTTTAACTTTGAATTAGTTTGACTGATTTTAACTGGGAATTTAAAAATACTATTTATATTTAATCCTGTTGTAATGTTCGTATATTTGTATATTTTAAATGGCTATGCTTTTACGTTAAGCATGCTTGAGTCCCTTTCAGGGGAGATAAAGTAGAGTATAAATAAATATAATAACAACAACAACTGACAAAATTATCATTTGTCAGCTGCAAAAGGCCACCCTTCTCAGATCTGCATGCATTATTTGCCGATACATCATACAGTCCTAGACACTTGGGAAATGTCCAATGTGTGTTCAAATAGAAAAGCTAGATCTTGTTTGCTGTGGACTCATCTTGTTATGTATCAAATAATAATAACTAAAATGAGAGACTATAAATCCTTATGAGGAGCGGCTTAAAGAGCTGGGCATGTTTAGCCTGCAGAAGAGAAGGCTGAGAGGAGACATGATGAGGGCCATGGATAAATATGTGGAAGGATGTCACGAGGAAGAGGGAGCAGGCCTTGTTTTCTGCTGCCCTGGAAAATAGGACTCGGAGCAATTGGTTCAAATGACAGGAGAGAAGATTCCACATGAAGATTAGGAAGAACTTCCTGACTGTAAGAGCTGTCCAGCAGTGGAACTCTCTGCCTTGGAGTGCGGTGAAAGCTCCATCCTTGGAAGCTTTTAAACCAGTGGTTCTCAACCTGTGGGTCCCCAGGTGTTTTGGTCTACAACTCCCAGAGATCCCAGTCAGCTGGTAGGATTTCTGGGAGTTGAAGGCCAAAACATCTGGGGACCCACAGGGCAAGAACCACTGTTTTAAGCAGAGGCTGGATGGCCATCTACCAGGGGTACTTTGGTTGTGCTTTTCCTGCATGGCAAGGGGCTGGACTACATGACCCACGTGGTCTCTTCCAACTCTATTATTCTATAATTCTACCAGCGGCGCTCCATGCAGTCATGCTGGCCACATGACCTTGGAGGTGTCTACGGACAACGCTGGCTCTTCGGTTTAGAAATGGAGATGAGCACCACACCCCAGAGTTAGACATGACTGGACTTAATGTCAGGGGACTACCTACCTACCTACCTACTACCAGCTATATTGGGGATGTTCTGTCGAAGGCTTTCATGGCCGGAATCACTGGGTTGTTGTAGGTTTTTTCGGGCTATATGGCCATGGTCTAGAGGCATTTTCTCCCGACGTTTTGCCTGCATCTATCGCAAGCATCCTCAGAGGTATTGAGGTCTGTTGGAACTAGGAAAAGGGGTTTATATATCTGTGGAATGACCAGGGTGGGACAAAGGACTCTTGTCTGCTGGAGCTAGGTGTGAATGTTTCAACTGACCACTTTGATTAGCATATAATGGCCTGACAGTGCCTGGAGCAAACTTTTTGGGGATGATCCTATACCCGCTAATAGAAGATCTTGGTGTGGAGCCTTTCAAATGCCATCTATCCCAATTCCAGCTGGGCTGGGAATGACAGGGTTTGAGTCAAGGGAACAAATGGCTAGGTTGGGAATGACCCAAGATGACCTATGCTAGCCAGGTTGAGAGTGACCAGACAGGGTTGGGCTGGCCCAAGATTTCAACCTGACCCAAGTTTGGACAGTAGTTGGAATCCTTATGTACCCCAACCAAGGAATGGCTTACAATATTTATTTTTTGGGGAAAAACATGAGAATCTCCCTTGCCTTTGGTAAATTACTAGTCCCAGGAGAGCTGGCTGCGGGATTTTGGGACTTGTAGTCCAAAATAAGGAAGCTTTCCCTTGCTCTGCTTCTGAGGTTGCACGCTCATTCATGCAATCCATGGATGCCAAGGGTACAAAGTCATCCTGGGTGTCATCTCCATGCGCACTTTGCTTCTCTCTGTACTTTCCAGGGACTTCTCCTGGGAAGTTGAATCACTGTTTTAGTAAAACGTAATTGCAACAGTTGACTCTCCTGCAGACACGGATGCTCCCAAATTATCACACAGCTGGAAGGGGTCATGAAGGTCACTTTCCTTGGCCATTTGCCATTGCACAGTGAGGGTCCCGATTCTGCTTCTTTGCCCTCCAAAAAGGCACAGCATCTTAGATCTGGAATAAGGACCCAGGGGGCTGGGCCTTGTATTTGGGAGTTGCGTTTGGAGAAAGAGTGATGCGAGCGAGTGGGGTGTTGGCACAGGCAAAGGTGAACTGCGTGTTAGAACAGGTTGAAGGGAGGATGCTCCTCGCAGGAGAAAAGGTGGTGTCCTTTTGGGATTGCCTTCAAGAGACCGATCCCCTGGCTTGACAGATAGGCTGGGCCCAAAATGACAGCCCTTGCCTTTTCCCATGAAGCATCCCGTCCCTTTAAGAGCAAGGGAACATGCAGGCATTCCACTGGTGCAGAGTTTCCCTGGGCATGATGAATGTATATGTGCACACACACACACACACACACACACACACATACATATATATACACACGCATATATATTTACATATACATATGCATACACACAACTGGTGTGTGAGATATATATGTATGTATGTATGCATATATGTGTGTGTATATATATGTGTATATGTGTGTGTGACACACCAATGTCTTCAATGGGTTGTTGTAGGTTTTTGGGCTATATGGCCATGTTCTAGAAGCATTCTCTTCTGACGTTTCGCCTGCATCTATGGCAAGCATCCTCAGAGGTTGTGCGTTTTCAATGTTTTCATTTTAATTACATAGTGATTCTGCCACAGGTGGTTGTCACAATAACCCTCACAACAATCTTGCAAGGGAGGTCAGGCAAGGGAATGAATACTGGGTTGCTGTGAGTTTTCCAGGCTGACTGGCCAAGTTCCAGAAGCATTCTCTCCTGACGTTTCACCCACATCTATGGCAGGCATGCTCAGAGGT